CAGATCTCACTGCTCTAAGAATTTTCTGTCTCAGCCTATTCATCCCTTCCCTCCTTACCCCAGCCCCTGGCAATCACTGACCATTTTATTGGCTCCATAGTTTTGCCTTTTCCATAATGTCATATGGTTGGAATCTCACAGTATTTAGCCTTTTCAGATTGGCTTCTTTCACTTAATAATATGCAGGTAAGTTTCCTCCACATCTTTTCATGGTTTGATAGCGCACTTCTATTTATCACTGGATGATAGTCTGTTTTCTGGATGTACCATAGTTTGTTTATCCATTCACCTACTGAAGGACATTTTGTTTGCTTCCAAGTTTGGGCAATTATGAATAAAGCTGCTATAAACATCTGTGTGCTGGTTTGGTGTGGATATAAATTTTCAACAAGTTAAATGTTCAAGGATGACGTTCAGTTAGCTAGATAGAGAGATGAAAGCTAACTATTCCAGACAGACAAAATAGCATGACTATTCAGGATTCAGGGGATTTCATCTCATATGCTAAATTTTAAACTTTATCCTAAAGACATGCTGAGTTATTGAAGGTTTTTAGTACAGCAATGACAGGTCAGAGACCTAATTAATATTCTAGAAAATTCTCTCTGCCAGCCACATGTAGGATGGACTGAAGGAGGTGATGCCAGAGTCATTCTGTTTTCCAAGAAATGAGGAGACCCTGAACAGGGCATAGAGATAGAAAATAAATTAAGGCAAGAGGCTCTCTAGACTTGTGATTGGTTGATGTGGAGGTGAGAGTAAGCAGATTTCTGGCTTGGAGACTGGATGGATGGGTTGCCAGGCAATATAAAGACGTGGGAGGAGGAGCTAGTCTGGGGTGGATTAGAGATATAATGAGTTTTAGAATACTTGACTCCTGGTTTTATCACTTATTAGCTACCACAAGCCCCTGCATTTGTGCCCTATACCCCTGGGGACTCAAGAGTAGGCCTTCCTTCCCCCGGCTGCCAGCTCCGGCTTCCCTCCGGCCCCACGCAAGCACCTGGGACCCAGGCTTCCCTTGCAACCTTGGCTTCCTGCGGTAGGACAGAAGGACGTTCGGAAGGACATCTGGTCTAATTAGCATATTACACTTTTATTATTACAGATATATAAAATCTCAGGGCATTTGCTTGAAATTCCTTGAAGCAAACAATAGAAATCAATTGCAAAGTTCTGAGAATCCCAGAACGTCCCAACTCTGATGGCATTGCATTGCTAGGTCAAAGCCCTTGACCTGCCCAAACTTCAGTTTCCACTCTGCATTACCTGTACTCCTTCTTCGCCTTTGCTTCTTTCAGAATGGCAGCTTGCCGGTAATTGTCAAGGTCTCCTAGAAAGTGCCTAGACTGGAGCGGCATCCACTTTCCTTTGAAGATGCACACATACCATTTTGTCTCATTTCCAGCTCCTTCTTTCACCATCTAGTATTTTTGGTATGGTCGTCCATTGCCACACGCCCAGCTTTCAGAGCTGAAACAGGAGCTTTCCATCAGTGGTTCTCAACCTTCTGGCCCTTTAAAACAGTTCCTCATGTTGTGACCCAACCATAAACTTATTTTCGTTGCTACTTCATAACTGTAATGTTGCTACTGTTATGAATCGTAATGTAAATATGTGATATGCAGGATGGTCTTAGGCGACCCCTGTGAAAGGGTCGTTCGACCGCCAAAGGGGTCGCGACCCACAGGCTGAGAACAGCTGATCCAGACAATTGTGGATTCAGACCCTGAGTCTACCTCTCCTTATCTGGAAAATAAAGTCTAAAAACACACACATCTATTTTATAACGTTCTAACGATAGGGATAAAGTGTCTAATGTGTGAATGATGCTTAAAGGTGACGGGTCAGTACAATAGCAAAGAGCTTATCCTTTTGGGCGGGTCTGGTTTTCAGGGTGTCGGGGCCCTTTAAGGGGGCGTCACCCTAGTTTCCTACGCGAATGGTTCCGCCTGTGCTGGGGCGGGAGGCGGCGGCCCTCTAACCCGGAACTGACGGCCGCGGGCCGCCGGCGCCGCCAATCCGCGTCCCGGAAGGAGCGAGCCGGCGGCGCGTGAGCGAGTGAGTGAACGCGGCGCCGCCCGCAGGTGGCAGGCGCGGCTGAAGCCGGCCGTTCCCGCCTCTCTCTCCTTGGAATTCCTCCAGAGGAGGCGGGCGAGCTGCGTGCGGCCGCGCTGCTCCTCCTTGCGCGTCCGTTCTCCAAATAGGGGCTCCCCATTCCCCACCGCCCGCGCCCCTACGCGGGCTGAGCGCTCCACCCGCACACAGCGCCCCGCTGCGGCGCCCCGACTGGATGTAGCATCCCCGTCCCGCTCCCGTCCTGGCCCGTCGCCCCGCAGCCCAGCCGGAGCGGTGACCGCCTCCCCGCTGTTCGCTGCCGGTTGCTGCCTGCACCATGGGCAGTGAGCAGAGCTCGGAGGCCGAGAGCCGACCCAACGATCTGAACTCCTCAGGTCGGTGCCCTAACTTCCACCTTCCTCCACGCAGCCGTGTCGGCCTGCGGAGGGCGCTGCCTCCCAGCCCAGTGGGGTCTGGGACCGGCGGGCACGAACGCACCGAAAGCCCTCCCCGTGCTTTTTTTTTTAAGTCACCATCTGTCCTAGCCTTGAATCCCCTGATGAAGTGGGCGCCTGTGACAGCAGCTAAGCCAGCGTGGGCGCCCATCCCCATTATTTATTTTCGAAACAGCTGTCTCTCCTGGCCGCAGCCTATTGGAAAGATGACCTAGTTAATGATTGGCTTTGGGACTCGGGGCTGACAGTGAGATTTGGTTCTTGCAGTGGATGGATCGTAGACAGGACTTCTAAGAACAGGCTCCTTCTTAAAAACGGGGCTCAGAGCTTCCTTTTCAGAAGGGATGTGTGGCAGGTGTACAGTCTTTTAACTCTTGGCTGCGTTAGGTAAATTACCAAGAGATTAAGAGTTATTTCTTAAAGAGCAAAAAAAAAAAAGAGAGATTCTGGAAGAGTGAACGCCATGCCATAGGAGACTGCAGCCTCTAGGCGGCAGGGCAGTTCTGTGACATCCCTTGAGACCCTGACTGTGATGAGCTTGCAGATCTGCCTTGTAGCGTGTAAAACTGTAAAAAGGTTTATTCTGGCCCCAGCCAGGGACATATTTGGGGAGAGGAGGATGTCTTGGACTAGTGAGTCCTTGATAGTTTGAATCACTTCCCTCTGAGTCGATTGCATTTTCCTAAGAGACCTGAAATTGACCTGCCTCGAGCGGTCCTCCAAGTTTCTGAATTTTGCCTCAGCCTACAAGGGACCTACTGATTATTTTTTACCTTCTTGGACTAATGCCTGTAACTTTAAGGGTGAGGGGGCTGGTGCCTCAGGAATACACCCATTATCTAGGGTTGAGTATCAGGGTTTGTCCCCATCCCCCCATAATTAGGAACTGTTAAATAAACTTGGTTTGCTGGGATGGGTGGCTAGACAGCTCTGCACCCGCAGTGCCACAGGGATGGGTCATGTATACCAACAACCTGTAGACCCCCAGTTCCTTTCCTAACCCCTTTTCTGCCGCTGTTGACTTTTGGCAAGTCACAGCCAAATTTTGTGCCCTTATTTCCTCATTGGTAAAATAGGGACAGACATCAAGAAGAGCAAAGAAATAAAAATTAAAAACACAATTTGCCTATTTCTTTGTGTGCCAAATAATAAAATATTTTAAATTACAAAAATAGTTTCATATATATATATATGTATGTATATATATATATACATATATATATATATTCCTGTAATGTTTGAGTTTTTTAAAGCTATGATAGAAAATGGAGGTCCTCCATGATTCATTCCCCTTATGAGCCCCCACCGCAGGAAAAATCCAGTTAGCATTTTTTTGGGTATAAAAATATTACTTTTAATAACTACAGTGAAACAGCTTTGGTGAGACAGAGGTGGCTAACGAACATGCAACTCCTGAGCGGTGTAACTTTATTTTCAGTGACTCCTTCTCCAGCTAAGCACAGAGCCAAGATGGATGATATTGTGGTTGTAGCTCAGGGCTCCCAGGCCTCACGGAACGTCAGCAATGATCCTGATGTCATCAAGTTGCAAGAGATTCCAACCTTCCAACCTCTTTTGAAAGGTAAGGGCTTGCCTTTTGACTTACCTGGACTTGCTGGAAAGGTTTGCATAGCCCCACTACTCTCCTCAGATATCTGTGTGCCTTATTCATCTCCTTTAGGTCTTCCCTTAAATGGCATCTTCTCTGTGAAGCCTTCCTTGCCTGCCCTATTTAGAATTGCAGCCCTTCTCCCTGCCTGTTTTTCTCTGTAGCACTTAATCATCATTGACCTACTGCATTGTTTATTTGGTTACGGTCTCGGTCTCTATTTTTCTATTAGAATGTGTGATGGCATTGGTTCCAAGTGTTAAATCCTCAGCACTTGGAATAGAGCCTGGTATAAAGTAGGGTCTGAATAAATGAGTGAATGAATGAATGATGTTGGAGTTAGCCCTTACCTGTTATGAATGGTTGAGTAGTTCAGATCCATAGAGGCAATCTCCATGACCACTGATACACTTTTAATTAATTCTGGCAACCATATTGTACGAGAGGAGAGCGTATATATTGAGGAGGGAGAGTGTATACAAACCATCAGCCTTCTTGATTAGTGTATATTGAGGTAGTTACCTTTTACTATGCGTTTTATTGTTTATTTAATAATTTTATATTTCTGTTACTTTTACATTAGTAAATATATTAATTTATTTTGTTATTTTCATATCTCCATTAAGTACTGGTAATGATTTTCTGTTAATGGATTGAGGTTTCTACTATAAGAATCTCTCTGTCTCCCTCTCCCCTAAAATATTAGGACGTATAAATGAACATGAGGTACTGGTTTATTAACCTGGTACAATGTATAGTAATAGAAATCATCTTACATTTATATATTTTAAAAGCCCCTTTCCATACACATATCATTCCCTTAATTTTTACATCATTAAATATGTTTAAGTGATTTGTGCCAGATCAGATAGCTGCTGCTAGATTGAACTTGAACCTTCATCACTGATGTCAAATTCTATACTAGTTACACTATTCCACACTATACTTAAAAAACAAAAATATAAAAACAAGTGGTGCTTTATAGATGATCCATATATCAACTCATTCTTCCTAGCACTTCATCTGCTTTACTAATGAGGCAGTACCAGCTTTCATTCTGTTCCCCACAGTCCTTAGAGTTAGACTTTGGTAAACTCTTCTGGTTCTTACATAAAATGACACATTACATCCTCTTATTAGTTTTCATAATTTTGAGGAATGATGTGATTCTCCAAAGAAGCCAACGTTAATGAAATTTTCATCTCCACATATCCTTGTACAATAATATTAAAAGATATTACCTTTATCTTTAGAAACTTAGAGGTAGGAATTGGTATTCTCCCAGCGGTCGCCAACTGGTGGTCCGTGGACCACTGGTGGTCCGTGAGGTCTGAAAGGTTGGCAACCGCTGGTTTAAGGACACGTTTCTACTTTGTTCCTCTGGAAATGCATGCAGTACTTCTCACAGTCAGAATTTTCATGGCTGTTAGCTGCATCCTTTCTTCTAAAGTCTTCTAGTCCCTGGATGAGGCCTTATGTGACCAATTTTTGTCCCACTTTAGGGAAATACTAAAAACAAACAAGCAACAATAATTCCCCCAGAACTTTGAGATATACTGAATAATTTTCTGTGATTAATGCTTCTTTTTTTAAGTATTTGAAATAAGTCATATTTTATGATAATAAATTGATCAGTAAGTGAAACATCTAGGAAAAGGCTTGGTATTAAGCCGTAATAGTGGTTCTCAACCTTCTGGCCCTTTAAAACAGTTCCTCATGTTGTGACCCCCAACCATAAAATTATTTTCGTTGCTACTTCATAACTGTAATTTTGCTACTGTTATGAATCGTAATGTAAATATCTGATATGCAGGATGGTCTTAGGCAACCCTGTGAGAGGTCGTTCGACCGCCAAAGGGGTCTCGACCCACAGATTGAGAACCTCTGTATTAAGGGAAGCTGACTTCAGATTTAAAATAATCTCTGGGGATCCTGAAAGTGAATAGTTAATGAGGTGTAATCAATGCAATGCAGCTGGACTTGGTTGCACTGATTACCGAGGTTTTAATTGGGACTCGCTAGTTAGCTGTGTTGCTCTGGCTTTGTTTTCCGTCTCTGTGAACCTTGTGTGTTGAGAACATTGAGGACAGTTTCAGGAGAGAGGAAAGCTGGTGAGTAGCAGGTTGCAGTTGAGAGGTGATCTAGGATTTGGAAGGTAGAGAAGTCACTTGATAAGAGTGGCATGAAAGTAGAAATGGCAACATGTGACCATGGCCAGACTGCAGGAAACAAACAAACAAACACATAAAAAAAGCCAGTGAACATTGAAGTTGATGCTCATGTTTCACTTGTGAAGTAAGTAGCAACATCCTGGACAGTGGAAAAGGTAGGCAAAGGGGACAATTGGTGGAAATAATAAGTATAATTATAATAGTAGCTAATCCCCTCCCCCTCATGCCTCTGCCTGATAGCTGTTATTCTTTTCATTTCGTAGATTAAAACATTGGTGCTCAGAGCTTAAATTCAGTGCCTGAAAATCACATGGCTATAAGTGATAGCCCATCTTTAAACACATCAAGTGTTTAAAAATTTTGTACATAGGAAGAGACTCAGTTCCCAATTCTAGCAAAGCCCATTGTTCAAATGACTGGGCTGTAATAGGAAATAGAGTGATGGGTGTGAGGTTGTTTGGACTTCTAGGTGCAGCATTTGTCGAGGTGCCTCCTGCTTTGACATTGTTCTGTCTGGTAATTTGAAGCCCTGCGGGCTGTCTGCTGGGCGGCTGCAGGGGCCACTCATCACTGTAGCTTTTATACTCTAATCTCTTTTTCCCTCTTTCCTGCTTTCAGGATGAGGCTATTTCTCAAAGTAGTAAAAGGGCCACACAGTGAGGGCTCTACCCCCCAGGTTTGATTTCAGAAAGCTTTTATTCAAGTTAATGACAGTTTATTCTTCCAAAACAATATATTCAAGTATTACACAGAGTTCACTATTGTTCCATAATGTCATATGATGTAATGCTGATGCTGGTGGGTGATCTGCAGAGGCAGTGGCCAGGCGAGTTTGGGGCTATTTGTATGACTGAGGTAATGTTTGCATTTTTAATAAGCAAGCAGATTCTTTCGTTGGTCTTTAACCCTTTTGGATAATTATACCAGAATATAATGTATGTTCCATACAAATGCCAAATATCTGTTCCTCTTTTTTTTAAGTCAAAAGAATTTCTGTTTGTCATAGCAGTGTCTGAGTTTACCAATTTATTTTGAAATGTAAAACATTTAGTAGAAGATTGAAATTACAAAAATTAGAAAGTAGCAATAAATGGTAATGACAGAACAGTCAAAATGTAGATTTGATGCAAAGTAGTTAGATTCCTAAAGATTAAACAAGATCTATAGATTTCTTAAAATTTAACCACTCAGCCCTAACCAGTTTGGCTCAGTGGATAGAGCATCGGCCTGCAGACTGAAGGGTCCCAGGTTTGATTCCAGTCAAGGGCATGTACCTTGGTTGCGGGCACATCCCCAGTAGGAGGTGTGCAGGAGGCAGCTGATTGATGTTTCTCTCTCGTCGATGTTTCTAACTCTCTATCTCTCTCCCTTCCTCTCTGTAAAAAAATCAATAAAATATATTTTTAAAAAAATTTAACCACTCATATTTTTTAATGATTCCCATTATTTATGTCATTTTATAGAAATGAAATATTCACAAGCTAAAGGCAATATTGATGTTTTATATATACATATGTTAAATAATTATTCTATTTACTCATGGTGATGAATATATGCATGCATACACATACGCATGCATAAGCACATTCTTTGCAATTGACCTATCATTTTTGTTGTTGACCCTGGATATAGCATATGATTGTCTTGCTGACTACGGAAGAGACTGTCTTTGTTACCAACAAGGAAGGTCAAACATCCAGTGTAGATGCTTCAATGACACTAAACAGCTTTGTTGGGAATTTTGTGTTTGGTTGTGAAGACCATGATATATGTGAAGTAGATTTTGACAATTGAAAAGAGATAGGGGCTTTTCTTGGGGGAGCAACAGCTCATGGAAGAGCAGTGAAGGCTCTCAAATCACATGGAACGTTGAGAATTAGTGCTTGAGGTTGAAGCTGGGTTAGAATGACTCGATGGAAAAGGGCGATAAGGAGAACACGAGGGAGCTAGATTTTCAATGACCAGTTTCTTCACATCCTTTTCACCTCCTTGTCTATTAGCCAGACAAATAGTATGAAGGTAGAAAGTCTTTGCATTTGTAAGACACCCGTGTTTCCCAGCAGTCAGATTTTATCTCTGCATTGGAAAATGGGGTGTCAAGAGAATGGATTAATCAGAGCACAGTCTTCTTTGAATGGCTTTAAGGTGACTCTAGGCCCAGGTGGATCCTAAGAGTATATTTCCCCCCCAAACACCATATTAGAAAAGTTGATCACTTATTCCTGATTACCTTGTAATCAGTCTTGTATGTTTGATAGCTCTTCAGTTAACCTTTTTAACAAGGCTGTTAACCAGTAAAGTGAGCCTTACTCAGAAGACTGGGAAACCCCAAGCGAAAGGTCCTTTAAACCGCTTGAGAAGGTGAAGCCATTTTTCAAGAGTATCCTCACTTTTTTTCTCACTCCAATAAATCTCTGTGCCTGCATCCATTTTTGTTTCTTTGTATTAAATCTCGGAGAAGGTACCTATGCCTATCCCTGAAACTTAATGCTTCTTTATTTAACTTTTTCCTTCATTAGCTGGGACTTTGCTTCTGTACTTGTACATCTGGCTTAGTGAACTTTAAGTATTTTGAAATATAGACATCTAGATCAGCAATTTTCAACCGGTGTGCCGCAAAAAAAATTTAAAACATGCAATACTTGACTATTTAGTCGGGTACTGACCTCTTTTCCCTTAGAAAAAAATGACAACAGCCAACACATCAATAGCTGTCTGGTGTGAATGAATCAAAATTTTACTTATTTTTTTTGTCAGATCGACAATGTATTTTTTGGTGTGCTGCAGAATTTTAGTAATTAG